GCACACCTTTATCACTGCTGGTGGTCGTCACAAAAATGGATACGTACCATGAAACTTGCAGGGTACATTAAGCATGTTGTATTATACATGTGCAGACATTTGGTTTGGACTGATTTTGCTCTGAAAATGGCAAATGCAGTGTTATCAAAAGTGAAAGAGGTGATGCTTCAAGCCCGTTCCGCAGCTTTCAGCAGGGAAGTTCACGTTGCTAGCTGTGGGCAAATGAGTAAACGATTTCGCTGGAAAATTTATCAGAGTGCATTACATATTCATAAATAACATTGAGGGGTTGGCAAATTTTTAGATCAAAATTACGAGGGTCATTCCAAAGAAGCAATAAAAGGGGGGGGGGGGGGGGGGGGGGCATTTCTCCTGCTCCAGTGGTTGATCCGCACACACGAGTATGGCGTCATTTAACACCGCAGTTTCGTACCGTAAGTGCTGCTCCTCCTGTGCCAACAAACATGTATAGTGGTAGGCCAGAGCAGTAACTTACATAGGCTTGGGGCGCTGCCATTGCCCCAAAATGCTTCGCCGAATTCCCGTGCTTGGCAATCATCCACGCCATGACCGCTACACGAGCACACGAAACACGAACATCATCAATCTTATACTGAACCTCCACGTTGTGTGAACTTGCCGCACAGCAATAATAATTTAGTAGAGACACCACGGAAAACTTCTTAACTTGCACACGCACGTACCTGTTCGCAGTTGAATTTGGCCAAAACCAGCTTTCGTTTCCCTCTCGGGTCCTCCTCGGCCATCTGCATGGAAACATCTTCCCAAAGCGGCATGAACAATTCCCTGCATGCCCCCACAGGAGCAAACAACAAGGCGGCCAAATAGGCAGAATCTTGGAAGGCGGCGGCCCCATGCTGGCGTTGTCATAACTCTACGCTCCTGAGAGTGTATCAAATGCAAGGCAAGCTTCCCACCGTCGAGGCTAACAAAGTTTCCTTTTGCTTGTCTTTTGTGGTCTACTTTTCTGTATTTACTTGTACCCAGGGTTTCTTGCACGGTAGATATCACTAGCTAGCGTATGCATACAATATGCATACCACCTGTAGAGTAATCTTGGGGAGCGTGTGGGGAAGTAAGAGCTCACGGCAATGTACCGAAGATGCTGCGTGTGCACCTACCTGATGCGGGCCCACATCAAATCACAGAGAAAAGGTTGTGTTATTTCACAAGGGGTTTCCTCCAACAAAGCGGTGCAACAGGTATTGGGGTAACGTGTGATGGGCGACAGCCCGCAACCTGTAACTACTGCTGTTGGTCTCGTCAACACCTTGAGCAGTCTCACGCGCACATGTACTATCATGTATTATGTTGAACGAGAGAAAAAGCAATCCTGCAGCGAACTCCAGCACTCAACAACGAAGTTCGCAAGTATACCACCATGACCACTCACTTGCAATGTTGGCACCAGGGAGCATAGAACATGACGGCGTAGTCCGTCGTCCAATGCCGCATGTTGCTCGTCAAGGTGGCCGTGTCGAGGGGGGCCAGCGGCTCCGCGAGCGAAGTTGACGCGGAAGTCGGGCATGAGCCCAACAAGCTCCCCGAGACCAGGAGCAGCGCCGTCACCGCCGCCGAGGGGGCAGGGGAGAGTCGTCTCCGATATCTGCGGATCGATGGGTTTGCCATTCTGCGCCGGAGTTGGTCTCTCGCGAGCCAGGGGGTAGTGTATGGAGACAGCCAGGGTCAAGAGACACGTGCACGCACGTGTGGACCCGCGCACGGAGAGGATACAAATGGTTGCATTTGATTTGCGGAGCCCCCAAGAGGGAGACGCAACGGCACAGCCCGGCCCAGCCAGCACAATTTCACCGCAGCAGTGCCTCGTGTAGCTGACTGGGTTTGACACGTACGACCCGCATAGCACCGCCGGAGAACAACAGGGAGAACATCGGTCCATACCCGCTTCAGAGAGTGCGCCGGATAGTCTACATCTTCGCTTTTTCAGCTTCAGGTGGGCGTTAATCTCGCGATCGCACACTCCCTTCACAACAGCAGTGGGTGTGTGGGCTCTCTGCTCTCTTTTTCTTGTATTGCTGCGCCATCGCCTCCAATCCCCAGCGGTGTAGAGCTAGGTAGTGCTGCCAATGTAATTTCTGATAGTCAAAGTCTAGCACACAGGCCAGTTGACCACGTGCTGTGTATTTGTTTCCGCTGTCTGTCGAATTGGGCGTGTGCACACGGTCCAGCCGCGTCACGCGCTCTTGCGGCCATGTATCTGTGTTTGCCGCTGTGATAGAGCCAGTCCAGAGTATCACCCATGCTTCATGTTTGCTAGTAAGGCAATCCGCATGAGCATTGCCGACCTCCCACTCATGAGGTCGCATGTGAGTTGGCGGTTGTGCATGCTGTTTTCCAAGCACACCTCAAGCAATAACAATCCCAGTAGCAGACTAAGTGATTGGAGCTGCAGGGTACTCATATGTCGGACTTGGTCGGACCCCTATATTAGCAAGAGAAAGCGGCGTCCGTAACTCTCAACCCTCACTCTGTTTCCGACACGCCCGACCACGTCATAGCACACAGCCATCAGCTGATCGTAGAGAGCAACGCGTCGAGATCAAGCAACATGGGAAAGATCGAAGCAGAAACGTGCAGCGTTTGCAAGGAGAATCCGTCCAAGTACCGGTGTCCACGGTGCGGTGCGCCCTATTGTTCCCTGGTATGCAACAAAGCGCACAAGGCGGGTAGCGGTTCCGCCCCCCCCTGCACAGGAAAACGCGCCGGCGCACCGTTGTCGACGCCAAGCCCTAACGGCGGCGGCGGCGGTGGCGGCAACAACCGACACAGCCCGGCAGGGGCGAAGCGGCCAAGGAAAGAGGAAGTTGCAAACGAAAATGGCGGTGTCGCTGTGGAGGGTAGCAACAAAGCGTGTGTTCGGAAGGGCAGAGATCAGTGGCGGGGAGGCAGAGAAGACAAGGAGGAAGAGGAGTGGCAGATGAGCGCAGACCAGATGGAACGGATATCCGGATGCGCATGGTTGAAGGCAGCCGTTCGAGATCCGATACTTCAAAAGTTGTTGGTGAGTTAGTTCGGAAGCTGCTTCCTGTGAGGTGGCGGATCACACGCCGCAGCAGGTGGTTGACTCATTCCGCGCTTGGCAGGTATCCTGGCCGGTCGCATCTGCATAGCTGTTATTCTGTGTTCAAGTTACAGACTCTGTAAGCTGAGATTTTTCGCCTTGCGACCAAAGTAGGGCCGTCCATAAGCCGCTCGAATATATCGTGAACACTGATGCCAGTACAGTGCTTGTGCATCATACGTACCTCTTGGTTTGGATTGTCTTGCCCGCAATGCCGGCAGTGTCCTCATTGGAGATGTAAGGCGTGTGGTGTAGTCTGGGATGAGGGGGGCAGAGTGCTTCCCGCCTCAAACAACACCCTCCTAAGGCTTGTCTTCGTCCATCGCTGAATGCCTTCGCAGACAGAGATCGATCAAGCGGATGACCGAGAAAAGGCGCTGGCGTTTCACCGCACCAGCACGCAGTTCGGCGAGTTCATGGACAAGATGCTGCTGGAAATCGAAGAATACCGGAAGGGTGGGACGGGCGAACCGGAATTGGTCGCGGCGGATCCGTGACCAATTGTGATGATCAGCGGTGTTGTTTACTTGTTTTAATTTCGTGGTAACGTTTCGTGTACCTCAGGTGATTTAGCCGTCTCTTGTCTCAAGTCGGGAATTGTCGAGCGTTGTACGGGGCACACGTCCCGTGGACGGCAAGAAGAAGAGTATCGCAGTACTTCTTTGTTGGCAAGACCCTTGTGAAAGGTTCGGGAGCCTGTGGTAGGTCCGAGTGTCGCTTTGGCCCAGAAATGTTCCATTTGGGACGATTGGCATTGACGAACGACTTTATTCGTAGACAACAACCGCGATACCAGTTAACACAGACAAAATCGGAATATCAAATGCTACCGTAACCGCCCAACGATGTTACTTGACCGTGCACGTGAACCGCATGAGTGTTTTGCGTTCATTTGTGTGATGCACTGGTGACCAAAAGAGGAATCGCCAGATATACTGCTGTAGTCAAGAGCAACACGAACCTTGATGCCGAACGCAGTTATCCAGTTTGGCTCTGCTCACTCTGGGTGTACTTCAAAAGATTTATGGTCTGCTACTGTACGCATTTGGAAAGAGTAGGGAGGTTCTTCTCTTCACAGATTGGACGTGCGGAGTAACATCCACGAAGGACCTACTCCCCACAGCAAACACTAATTCATTTAGACCCGGATAACATGGGACAATGGGACAACACTGATGACAACCAACCTCAACCATTTCTTACCCTCGTTCGGTGACTACATGGTGTATGTTTCTACTTCGGCTCGGGGAACCCGAATACTCCGCAAGCAAACACGCTGTACATTATGTACAAGAATTTCCATCTTCGGACAGGATTGCCCGTTCCCCATGCGCAGTAGGACCTCAAGCATGGAGCGAAACCCAGAGTCTGGTGGCAGAGGTACGACCTTTTGACAGGACATTCCAAGCCCTAAGAAACTTCACGTGGGCCAGTGGTAGCACACGGACTACACGCACGAGAGCGTTGCCGTCCGTGCTGATGAGCGCATCGCTGCACGCTCACAATGAAGCTTCCATGTCGTTCAGGTCACTTCCGGGTGACTCCCTCAAAGTGCGCAGCTCATCTCGTGGGCTTGCCACAGATCTTAGCATACATCTTCGTGGTCCAGCTCATCATGCGGGCGTTGCCACCGAAGCTGCAGTATACAAATAGATCTTGGTCGCCTTGAAAGTTTCCACTCGGACAGGATCCAACCCTGGAATAGAAAAAACTGGCGTAACGACGACGTGTACAAGCGCGCTTGGAAAGGGCAAAATACAATAGGTGAAGCCTGCTTGATGTGACACTTGTAGTGACATTGAGTGTCACGAATTCTTCTCGAGCAGTTCTTGTTTTCCGTACTGTTAGGAGCGCAGCCCATCACAGCCAGGCCATAAGCAACCGCGTACTGCGGATGTATGCCAAGGAAAAAAGGCGGGCTTGAATCCACGTCGTTCAAGGACAACAGCTGGCCCGTGTAACTCGTTGTCTCGTACACTACACAGGAACAACATGTTGTGATACTTGTGCCGTACTTTCGACCCGAGAAACACCGTTAGGCGATATCGTGCACAACAGGCGACTCGACGTCTGTGCACAAGCTACATTAACAAGTTCATCACTGCTTTACAGCCAACATGGCACCGGCGCTCACCATAGGTGACAACTCTGGCCCCCGCTCTCAAAGCAGAGACCAAAGCTTCTTTCAATGCCGCCATGCCTGCGGGGACGAGGTAGATAAACACTGCCGTGGCCTCGACAATATCAACATCGAGAACGTTGCCGTGAACGACCTTGATCTGCTTTCCGGCCGAGTGTCCATGCGTTTCCCACCGGCAGACAGATTGATAGACAATACAGCCGGCCGGATAGGTGCGCATGCTTTCTCAGAGTGTGTTAAGATGGACAGAACAACTCTGTCAAGAAAAACAGGCTCAGGCAACCTCGAAACGTAAGAACTTGGGGGCCAGGAACGCAGCTCAATCTTCATGTAGGCGACAGGATAAGAAACATGCCAGTAGGAGACAGGAATGGCAGATTCCCCCAAAATCTTGAGAAATATATCACATGGTGTGTTCTCCTGTTTTATCCGGGGACAAGATGCCGTCGTCCAACCTCTTCCGCGCCGCCCTTTTCAATGGATGCTGATGTCCGATGACTAGAAGCGAGAAAGCGTGTGTTCGCGTATTTATCCCTACTGTACGCCTTCTCAGTTTCGGTCAGCCGGCTAGCGCGGTTGATGGTGCTAATTGAAGAATCTCGCGCTCGCACACACGTCGCTGGTGGACCGATGCAGCGGTGTGGACACTTGGGGGGGGGGCGTACTCTGATGTTTTGCATGCCTTAGCGGTTAGACCATTGACCACGCGTCCTCGAGAGGACGGGACACTTGGGGGGGCCGTACTCATTTGTTGCTTGCCTTAGCCATTTGACCATTGACCACGCGTCCCTTTCGAGACGGAGCACCGTTCCTACCCCTACTAGAGACACCTTGGGGGGGCAATATTGCACATTGGAGCGCCAACAAGACCGGCACCGCCGCTTGCTGTCGATTCTGTTTGGTGTGTACCTTTCTCAAAGCCAGCGGTGGCAAATATTGGGTGTAGGTGAAAAAATGGTCATGAGAACCAGAGAATATAAACGAAGAGTAAAAGTGCGTGCTATGGCACCGAGGTGCGATCGGTTTCTAAATCATTCCTAGGTTGGCTTAATATCGCACCCCGGTGCCATAACATCGATACCGGTGCGGAAATCATGCCGTTCTCGCTTTTTTTGCGCACCCCCGTGCCATGAAACCGATGGGTGCGAAATCAAAGATGGGCGCCAGAATACCCACTTTCACGGAAACACGGCACAGAAAATTACGTTATTCGTTTTCAGAAACTCAACGACTTAAGCTGTTTTTTCTCGACCCAAAACAAGGATTGGGCCTCGACCCGTTACTTGATTATGTACAATACCCGTACCGTACGCGACTGCACGCGAATGGCTGCCAATGTTGAGAAAATGCAGAGAGAACACCTAGAAGGTTCTATGACATACATGCACACCCGTTTTGTTCCTGACCTTGTGCTCCAGCTGCGCATCAGCCACCCGCGTAAGAGCTCGATCTACGAAGCGTTTGTCATATTCAACCCCAACCTGGTGGGTCAAGGACGGCACATACATCCATTTAGCATTGCGCCGGCTTAGACGGGGGATCAAACTCGGCTTCTCATTTTCTGGGGCCAAATGGGACCAACCAGTATTCCATCTACTGAGATAATTAGGAGGAACCGACGGAAGCACACAGAATGGGGGGACTGGATACGTGCGACAAAAAATAACTTCCTTTGAAGAGATTCTACTTCAAGAACACATGCATCTATCGGACATTCTCGATAGGTTTGAGGAGGAAAGAAACTCAGACAATACAACGCTCAGCTTGCATTCCGCTGCGAGGTAAATCAGCTTAAGCTTACTTTGTACCAGACATGTGGAGGTCAGGACATGGAGATTCAGGACGTACAGGCAAACGTTCATAAAGGGTAGGGTCTGAGGGATCTGTGAAAATAGATCATGGTTCTGGTCGAGCGTTCGTTACTCTTCTGTTTCCCAACAGCTGCGAATGGTTGATGAATCTGCTGGAGGCTGGGAAAATGAGTCCACGAAGGCTCGCCCACACTCCGCACCACCGTAGCTTGACTGAATTCGCTCGGTCAAGCTTGGCATTCCTCGCCATATAGCACCAAAGGAAGTAGCCAGCCTCCAGTTGCAGGTCAAGCCACCACTCTCCGGACTCTCAGGTCACGCATGTTATGTAGTCGTCATCATATATTTACCCCTCGGGCTCCTGACGCTTTGATAGCTTCCACCAGTAGTCGTCCATCCCCGCATCCAAGATCGTAGAGGATGCTCTCCTTCACTAGCTGCAGCAAGCAGGAATCGCGCAACGCATGCGGAAAGGTGTGGGCCTGCGGTATCAGGAAGCAGTGGGGGATGTGGATACAGCAGTACTATTTGTACAGGTACATCATCCCGACATTGAAATCATGGCATAGAGACGTTTTCTCTCACCTGAAGCATCTCAATAGCCATCCGTATCACGGCATCACTGCTCGGATTGAATGGCGCGAGTTTTTCGCCGATGCATCCACTGTTATCCTCCATGATACCTCCGGATACAGGCCTAACAGGCGAGAGCGTCCGAACTGCTGCTGGCTTGCTTGGCTTTCCGCACGGGACTGTCGTCTTTTTTCGGACGAAACAAATGTTGTACGAGTCCCCGACCTACGACGGTCGCAGCTGCGCACCCCCTACCACTCAGTCGACGCCCGACGTTCGACGTCGCTGCTTCGCCCACCACTACCCCGCCGCACTAAGCACATGGATTCTCACCTGTTGGCGCATCCCGACGTACGGGTACTTCTGTATGCCTTCCTCCTTCTACTGGGGATCTACGCGAGCGTGATGTACACGTGCTGGGGGACTCTTTCACTTTCGAAGGTGTGCGCGAAACAAGTTGAGGAGAACATCTCCCAAGCAACATCTTGTCGTTCCATTTACTTCACACCCCCGCCCACTCTGGTATGTGATTGTTTTCGGCTCATAGACTCTGGTCCTACAAATATATTTGAGCGGTGTACAGCATTTGGTACATTGATACATTGATGTAGCAAGTGAGAGAGAACTCCTCCTTTTTAGTCCCCACTATCTGCGGATCGGATACAGCAGTAGTGGTCCCGATATAGTGGCATGTAGTGGCAAGAGAAAAACATCCCACTATTCAGGGCAACGCCACTATATCGGAGAATAAGCTTTGATGCTTACGCTATGGACAGTTGTTCCTTGGATCTTCACTCTCATGCGTTGTGTTGTATGTATCTAGGGTCCCTCTTTTGTTGTGTGCACAGCAGTATCCGCGTGAAAACGCAGGTGTGTCTGCCTATCACGTGTGCATTGACACTTGATCGTCCTTGTGACAACGAGGCCTTCCGCGATCGCACCCTACGTTTGTGTGCAGGCGGACTGCAGAAACAAAGCAGCTTTTTTTGTTTTGTCTTGTCTGGCCATCCATGATGGGGGTTCACAAAAACACAAACAAAACTCACATGTTGAAAACATCAACGTACGCGAAACCAACTGGAGCAACCAAGTTGAAAACGCCGAACACTCCCCACTCCGGCGCATCAATCCCAATCGTCACGATGCTTTGCACCTGTAGGCCTCAACAGACCAATATTACTACACTAATATGACTGGGCAAACGCTCTGATGTCCAACTGCCGTGCCGGTCTAGCGGCATGTGCTGCAAGAATGCCATCTTTGCCTTACGGAGGAAATGCCCGGCCTCGCCAATGCCACACGACTCCGCGTACTCTTCTAGAAAAGCCCAGACAGTTCTGCGAACGATGGCGGCGCCTTCATCCCTCCACCCCCCTCACTCTCAGAATCTTCGGTGCTGTCTAGCTCTACCTCGTCGTCAGAAAAGGTGTCCTCTTTGACGTACATGTTGCCAACCTTCTACAAAAATATCTCCCTTGCGTCTTCGGACAGAGCTTGCGGTGAAAAACAGGGAGGCTCCGGCGTTTTGAATTGCCACTATTCGGGGGGTGATATGCCCAAAATGGCACTCTTGAGGGCCCCGTCCTCAATAGTGGTACAAAACCACTAGATTTTGACAAGAGATTTTGATGCCTCTATTGAGGGCATTTCATTATTCAGGGTGCCACTATATCGGGACCACTACTGTACAATCAATTGCCACAAACAAACGGGCGGAGCAAGAACTTAGGACAGATCCAGAGAGAGGGAGACAGAAAGAGACAAATGATATAGAAATGGAGAGATGAAGAGAGAGAGAATAGACTCGACTATGTACTGCAGTAGTAGTACAGGACAACTACAAGAGCACCCCCGCTTCATCTGGCGCTCGTCACTGCTGTTGTAACTGTCGTCAATGTCAATGCCCTTCCTACACATGAGGGAAGGATGATGGCGTGTTTGCTCTTACGTGCAACAGAGAGGGGGAAAAAAACTTTTGGTCATTTTTAATTTCAATTCGTCATTCATCATTCGCAGTTTGAACGCAGCCGAGATGCACCGTAAAATGCGAGTGATCAAACATCGCCTACAGTAGATGGACTTTCACAGCTCGATTGTTCCACAACCGAGAGGCTGCCAATGCCGAAATGCTCGCGCTGGAAAGACCTTATTGGGAGTTTCCCTTTCACGTATCAGTCAGCTTTTGCACTCCTTTTTGGTTGTGGAGAAATCGAGCTTTGGTGTGCGATCTCTCGTACTCCAATGGTGTGTAACTCCCGACACAGCTCTCGATGCTGCCTATTTCTATTCCGCAGACACCTTCAACCTTTGGAGGCTCCTGGCGCTTTTGCGGCATTTGCGTTGTCCGATTATGTCCAATGTTGTGTGCTCATGAATCATGTTCGCTACCCGCGCGCTTGTTCCGACACAATGTGAAAGTCGTATGTAGTTTATGTGACTACGCCGCGGTTCAAAACAAGTCCACGAAGCATGACGCATCCCACATTTTTTTCCATTCTCTCCGCTTACAGGTGAAAACCGAATTCAAAGAACGGCAAGACTTGGAGCGAGCATACGAGGCAACCTTTCAGCGACGAGAAGACATGCTGTACCACATTGGCGGCGCTCAGCAGCGGGGAGAGCACCAGCAGGCGGCGGTTTTGGAGAAGCAGTTGCTGCGAGTGGATGGCGACCTAGATTTGATTGAAGAACGCTTACGAGATCTGGACGCGAGACACAGGGGCAAGAGACCCAAGTTAAAGATGTAGCGCGACATGAAATAATTCAAAATGGGCGTGTTGTTGCATGGTACATGTGGGGCGTATTTACAGATCACCGGTGGAAAGCTCCGTATCGTTGCCTACTTCTGGCGTTTTGCCTGGCCTTGTACAGAAGATCCAAGACGAGTCAAGAGACGATAGGTGTCTGTCTGTGGACCGTGTCATCCGCGATGTCGTAAAGGACACGATTGTTTCGAACGGGTGTTGTAGGGAAGAGGGGTGATGGATAGAAGAGACACCACGCTCGTGATAGGGCCGCGGCATTGTAAAGTGACTCGCAAGACACAAGGCTCCTTGTTTCGTAATAGGACAGGAGACAGGACTTGTCGCAGATGCCTTTCCCGTGGCGGGTGCTAGCGACGGGGACACACTGATGGCAGTTCAATAACATTGTGATCTATCTGCTGTTTCTTGCCCACCGTTGCTCCACGACGCCTGGGCAGGCAAAAACACTCTCAATTTTTCGCAAGATAACGTAGGGCTACACTCTGTACACGCCCCAAGTTTCGCGCAACGATATCCTATGGCTTTTTTTTATCGTACCCACTTCCCCATGGTCACTAGGCGAATTATAAGACTGGTTTTTAAAAGCTTTGTCCTCGTCAAAATGCCGTCACGTTCTCCACGGTTTTTCTCGTAAAACCCTTCGAAGCCTAGAAGACTCCTTCGCCAATACAGCCAAGCGCCCTTCTATCTCTCGTATTTGCGCGCGCGCTTGCATGGTCTTGCTCGTCTTCGGCAGCAGCTTAGTTTGCTCCGCTTCTAGCTGTTGGCGCACAGCGAGCGAGTCATTCGGCGAAGTTTTGGAGTGAGGGTAAAGGAAAACGACGAGGGTCAGCCGAAGGATCACCTCAAAAGAGAGTAGTATTTGTGACATGACGAGACCCTCCTTGCCCTTGATTCCTCAAGAATACTGGTTTCCATCCTTTGCAGGGCCAACAAGGAGCGCGCACCAATTTGGCCGTGGCCCTTTCGTGGAAGGTTTGTGTCTTTGTTTGCATGACGACATTGTCACGTCTATCGAGAGACCATTCGCTTCAATCAGTACATGCCAAGGACCAACCAAAACCGTGCTTTCAACGGACAGGCAAGATAACAGTGAGTTGGCCTACGAGAAGTGCAAGATTTCAATTCTACACATGTCACCCACCTGAGATATTTCCATCTGTAGTAGCGTAAGTTTTCTTTCCACCTCGCGAGCTGGCCGAAGCTCATCCTCTGCCGCATCCGTGGCAAACGGGGCCGACGCCCGCCTCTCACGACGAGTTATCGCTTCCTTGTCGGAGACACCAGGGGAGTCGCTCGTTCCGAGCAACCTCCCTTGGGTGACAGATGAAAACCGCTCATTTGGAACTGCGGCACATGATTGCCTACGCCAAGGCCCTGATGCCCTCGTCGCGAAGGCTGACATCCCGAACCTGCTATGATCTGTCGGGCTTCGACTTTCCACAGCATCCGATTTGACAGACGCAGCAGTAGATTGTGATGCCTTGTGTCCCATGAGACCCTTCCTCGTTGCCTGGCTCTCGTCGAAAGATTCTGGGCTACCAACCTCGTTGTCGAAAATGGTCGGAAGGACCTGCCTCACGTCGGTTGCCCGATCGGGCTCGAGTCCGCTTGCCTCGCCCGTCACCTCCATCACTCCTGCACCAGCCCCGCTGAGGCTGCTACGGCGTGATGACATGGAGTCTCGACCCCTCCTGCACCCGGCGGCCGGGCAAGGTCTTGGCACCATGAAAGAAAAATCAGCTGTTGACGCATCATTGATGACATCTTCACCGGCGCGCGCCTTGTCCCGAAGCCCGACTTCATCTATGGTACGCTCGCCATGCCCGCTGCAGACCTTGCCACGATCTCGACATTCCTCGCCTGTTCTACATTCTTCCCCGTAGGTGATAGGTGTACTATTTACAGCACCGTCACCGCTGCGTTCAAACAGACGCCGCCCGTTGCCGAGATTCTCGCGATCGCCGCACCCTCCGATCGCTTCGGGGGAGCCGCCTTGCGACAGAGGTGGCGTGTCGGTCCATGCCGGGTTTGCCCCCGTTAACGCCCCCTTCACCCCCGCTGAGTCATGATGCTGCCTATCTCCAATAAGGCAAAGCTCACGTCCTGTTGGTCTGGTTGGAGAGGCGTTTGTCTCGATCACAGCATGCACCCGCCGCCCTGATCCTGTTTTCTCCCGTGGTTCTTTTGAGGGGGACGACACCGCGATATCTGTTCGCCACGCGTCGTTTTCTTCTTCCCTCTCGATGAGGATATTCCCAAGAGAAACGCCATGGCTTGCAGGATGACCGACTGCCGTGGCGACGTCCCTCGGAGGAATATGGTTCACCCCTGTTGCTGTAGTATTTTCGATGCCTGCTGTTGAAGTTCGCCTAAGGTTGTTGTTGGCGTGATTCACGATGTCCACCGCCGCCGTGTGATCCACCGAGCGCCCCACTGCCGTGCTGAGGGAGCTCGTTCGATGCCTGATAACATCTCGCCCCGCCGCGGGCACGTTGTGAAGAAGATCTGACTCGACCGCCCCCCAGCTGCGTCTCATCGCCTCCGGTCCACCGCCGTCAGCAGCCGCAGCCGCCAGTGCGTCTGTTAAGGATTGCCCCGGCTTGTTCACCGCCCGCCCTTCAAAGCTAACCTTTTCGCCACTGTTAGCATCCTGCCAACGGACACTGTTTTGGAGAATACGAAGGTCGGAGGCTTCCTTGGCAGCCGCCTCGGCCCGCATCATGGCGGCCTTCACTGTTTCCGCTGAAGCGTTTGTGGCCTGCCAAGCTCGCTTTTTGTCTCGCTCGGCCTCTTCCAAGAGCTGGTCTTTATGGCGGAGCTCGGTCTCGAACGTCGAGTTCTTTTCTGCTCGTGCGGTAGCGCTGTCCCGCGCCTCCGTCAACAAGGCATCCTTACGGCGGGTTTCGGTTTCGAGGCGGGTGATGCGACCAAGTGCGCTGTGTAGCTCGGTGCTGAGGCGTTCGTTGTCGGCCTCAAGTGATTGCCTTCTTTCTCGCCATTCCTGGTGGATGGTGCGTGCATGGATAAGGGTATGTTCACCATAATCCCGGCGTTATCTTGGTGTGATTGAACGTTACACGAGTGCGACGAGAGCTGCATATTTGGCGAGTTGGCGAAGACCCATATTATGGTTGGTGATGCACGCAGCATGTGCCAATACCTCGGTGTTCGTTTGATGAACAAATTAGGGCACCGTGTACCTTGCCCAAATACATGCTCGCGAAGGCGACATGTGCGCTTGTTTGGCCTCAAGTTCATCCAGTCAATACTGACCCATGTATTGCACGGTTTCAACATTTCAACCACTACACTGTACGGTATTGTGAACGCGATAACGCACTTACCAGGGCCTCGGCCTGGCGCGTGTCAAGTCTTTGTCGGGACTGTTTATTCTCCTCCTCAAGCGTGGTGATTTGCTTGATCAACGCATTCCGCCCCGATTCGTCTTGTTTGGCTTGCTTCAGACCAGCCTCAAGGAACTTAACCTGGGACAATGCACAGCAGTGGTAGCAGAAGTGGTAGCGGCAGCGACAGCGGGGTTCATACAATAGAAAAGTGAAACCCGTTGCCATGTCGCTGGAAATATATATTTTTTCGACTCTGTTACGGTCGTGCCGAGGACAAGCTGCAGTTCGGTGCCACACCACAACAAAGAGATAGCGGTGAAGACCTGACGATGATATTATTGACAGACGTGGGGACATGCGCAACAAGAGGCTAGCGTTTTCAGATACTAAGAGCGTGAGGCCTAGCTTTTGGTTGCAGAATGGAAGCTTGGCTGCTATCAACAACAACATATTTGCGCGTACATCTCGCGTGCAGCAACCCACCACACAAACCATGAAATCACAACCTCTCTCTCACCCTCTCTTCCTTTTGAAGAAGCTGCGGAACTATTCGATCTAGGGCTTGCTTGAGCTCGGCTTCTCGCTCTCGTCCGATCGTGCGTGCTTTAGTGGTCTCCCCGTGATTTCCGTCGCCAACCAAGGTGAGGGGCTCATCGCTGCTCGCGACCACACCATCTGCTGCTCTTGCTACTGGTGGTCGCCCGGCCATCGTTGTCATAGTCGCGTGCGAAACCACGTCGATTGGCTCAGCTTTCCGGATGTTCTCTCTGAACTTACTTTCAGCATCAGGTTCATGGTGGCGAAGCTCTTGCTGTCTTCCGCAACCTCCTCTTTGCTGCCGCGGAGAAGCCCAATTCGGATCGACGGTTGGGACAAGGAACGATGTACGGTGAGAAGTCGTCTTGTCATTCGCTTCGTCAGTCGACTGCCGCCGCCATGCTTCACCTCGATTGTCTGTAGCAACGCCAATCGGAGAGAACGACGTCACAGCAGCTGGCGTGAAACAAGCCCACCTTTGATGCCCCTCTAGCTCTCGCTCCTTCCCCGCAGGTACGCTTGTGGTGCTGGCACTGTCAGGGTGTGCTGGCCTCGTTGCTGCTGCTGGAGGTAGTAGTAGTGTTGCCGCCGAAGTGCTCGTGAATCCGGTAGGGAATAGATCCGTGAGGAAGGTGTGGGTGTTGCTTTGATTGTCGGCTTTTGCTGAATTGGGATTGTAGTTGTTGCCGGGAAGGAAAGGTGGCAAGCCTTCACTCAACGCTATGAATTCGCTCACACCCTCTAGCTCTCCCTCCGGCTGGACCGTCTCGACAACGTCGACGGATGAGCCGCGCCGCGGATCTGCGAGCATGGAAGTGAGGGAACGCGGCTGGCGGTCCGTTGGGTCATGGTCACCGTTCAAGCCGTCGCACTCGTGCTGCTGCCGCCGACCCTCGATGCTGCTGATGTCGTTATTGCTCCGCATGCAATGTCCCTCAAGCGCCTCTTCGCCGGTCCTCGCTTCCGCGATCTTTGGTCGACAGGTTGACATACAAAGGAGATATCCTCGATGACAGCTGACGGATCGTCCGAGATGGAATGAGGAACCGCATGGGCGGGGCTCTGATATGTCCCTCCCCAGAGATAAGCCCCGGTGTCGACGGCTTCACATCTAACCGGGATGTGTGATGTGTGATGGGTGTCTTGGTGTCTTGACTCGACGAGTTTCGAAATTGCACCGCAAAAAAGCGCGCGCGGGCGAACCGTCCCCTGTATGCCGCTCAAAGGGAGTAGGCGTTATTTCGAAAAAAGATCTGAGGTCAGCAGAGACCGAGAGAGACGGACAGAAGACCTGTGATCTTTAGGCCTATGTCATCAACAGTTTAGCACCCCGAAGGGCCACAGGAAACGCTCTTCGTACTACTCATTGGTGCAATTGGTGTCTACAGTAGGATGTGTGTCAGGTGTCAGGTTACCAAGCGTACGTATTTAGGGCAGTCCAGGGACGGGTACCTTTTACAGCAGCAATGCACTGCTGTACTACATCACTGCTGCACCAATGCGCTCGGAATCGCTACAGGCTCTGGCGATTATGCCGCATCAGGTACGAAAAACTGCTGTTCTTCCGCAATCCGCAACAAGGACGGGTCCCCCAATATCACTATACCCTCTTATCAAGGACCGTATATCTATCGTTGTATGCATGTGCAATCTCCCTGCTGCTACAGTTGAACATGTCGCATACGAACACGACGACGCTAAATATCACCACCCCCAGACGTCCTCATTTATATCCATAGTACAGTGTAGACAAACTGGCGTAGATCAGCGTCCGCCTGACTTGCCTTTGGGTGAAGGGAAGCCTAAGCCGCAATCATTTCAAGGCCCGGTCGAAACGTGCTCAAGAACTGGACATCAAAAGAAAACTGCTTGCTGTAGACTACGTGTATTTATTTCGATTTGAGGTTCTTTGCACCATACATATAGAACGCGCCCGCGCTTGAGAACCTCTAGTTTCGGCCGAGGCTGGCGTTCTTACAGTAGTTCCTGGAGCCATGCTACGAATGGCCACTATAATATAGGTTTTAATGTAGCGGGCAGCTCGCAAATGGTGCTCAAGTTCTTGAGAAAATATACTTTTTTTTACAAGGAAGGCTCAATTTCTTCACCCTTGGGTGCGGGCGCGCTTTCTGTAGCTTCTCTTTGAATCGGCCTGCTGCTGCTTGTTGACGATGATGCCACAACAAAACGTATAGCAAGAACACACGCCTTTGGGGGGAGCTCCATGGACACCCGTACAAACTTTACGTCTCATGCTGACCGGACCACCACAGTAAGCGGTATTTGAAGCTTCATCAAAACGGCTTTTCTAAAGCTATCAACGGATTCTGGTCGGTACATTTTTGGCGATGCCGATTGATGGCAAACGAACATCATTCAAACTCGAGGGAAAAATGTCCCCCTCTGATGTTTTACAATGCTTTTCAGGTGTGGGGCAGGGAGACCTACAAGAGAACATGATGCATGGTAGTTCCAACCAAGCAAGGGTAGCGCGACATTGGCTCGGATGACAGGACTACGCTAGGGCGGGAAACGATCGGGTATCTTCGAGCAAACGCTCTGTAAAGCGAGACTCAGGAACTGCTCGGTGTACAAGGCATTGGTTCAACTTCTTTTTTCGTATTCAGGGTTATCAACCCCCGATTGCCCACCACCCATTTTGAACAAGAAGATGCCACAAAAACGTCCCTCCAACGCGTGTCTACTACTGGTGCCTTTCCGTGCTTCATGACCGCCAGCACCACCAGGATGTGCTATTCGTCGATGGCCATCGGGCTCCGACCGACAGTTCACTAGATCTCACAAAACAAGCACTACAGTGAGATCTCCACTAGCGGCGTGCCGGCACGCCAAATGGTGTGACAAGTACACTCGCGCTCTCGTCATATCATCATAGGCGGGTTACGGCCAGTTGAATTCCGCGCTGGTCCTTCTTCCCGTGGAATTTGTTTGCATCCTGCCCTTGGTCGGTTTCCGCGGTAGATACTATGATCGATAACTAACTCCGTTAACCTGCTCCACGACCGTTCGCACCTGCAATTCGGAGTAGGAACGAGAGTCGAACAAAGCAAGCAATCTGCTTGTACATTACTTGAGCAATGAACCGAAGGTGACATCCAGCTCGTGAAGTGTTTCCTGTGCTAGATGGTGGCACGAATGAATTCCGACCGAGCTTCTCGTGCATGCTCTGATCAGTTCACTCCAATTTCCATTTCCGCGGGCAACGCGATGGCTACACCCCATTCCAACCCGTTTACACGCACCACCGAAGGGATTCCCCGTACAGCTCGCATGCTCCCACGTTTGTGAGGCTCTGCGGCGGTTGCCTCGCTCTCAAAACATCGCCAAATCGTTAGTCGCCCCTTTCACCGCGAATCCGTTCCTCCTAAGTTTCTGGACAGGGCAACACTTCATCACCCCCTGCTACGTACTGCTGCTCGTCCGTAGGGCCACTCCCACCTACCTCGTCGATATCTCGCACAACAAAGGTCTGGATCACGCCTTCCCGCCGGCTATTCGGAGGGTAATACCTCGCGGTGAACATGTTTGCCTCGGTAGCGGCGCTCAGGAGAGGGTTGCTCGACCCCACCAACAACACGTCCGCCCCTCCTCTTCTCCCTTCTCCCATGCCCAGCTCTCTGCTTGCCCTGACAACGCCCGCCTCCACGCCATCCAACTCCAAGTCCTCCGGCGAAACGGCGGTCGTGACCCGGATGGACTGCTGCCGCAGCTGCCTGACGAAGCTCTCGAACTCTCGGGGGCTCGTTTGCGGCCCCGCTATCACGCCAAGGCGCAAGCTCCTAGCCGCCAGGTAAGTGAGCAGGTCCCCCGCGCCTTGTCTGAGCATCCAAGCCGAATGCAAGTTTGCCGCCTCGGTGCTTGAAACGAGATTTCTCGCTGCGAAGAGGTCGGCATCGCCGCCGGGCTGAGAGCCGGCGGTGGCTGCGGGGCTGGCGGAAATACTCCCTGCGCCGGTTTTCTTCCGCAGCTGTCGTAACAAACGGAAGAGAGTTGTTGTTGGGGCTCAGTTTTTTGGAACATGGACGGGGCGGATGGGGGCGGAAGGCGCATGGAGCGGCGCGCTGTTGGATATATGTGCCCCCTCAAGGTTACAACACTCGAACACATGCTGCTGTGACACTCGTGCACGGTGGTTTGCTGAGCACAGGTGGGGGGACGGGAAAGTAGGTCAGGCGGAAAGGACCCACAGGGGGAGATGGGAGCGAGTGCGAAAGAAAATGCCTATGGCTACGCACGAGGGCAGTAGTTGCGCTGCCGTTGGTTACGAGCTGCGTGTTGTGGAGACCCCCGGTCGTGTGTATGGCTGACCCAAGTCGCACCTTCTCCATGTACTTTGCTTTGGGATCTGAGTCCTGGGAAACTCTCGGTCGTTGCTCTCTTTGTTGCTTAGCGGGCGGAGTCGGTGCAGATGATGAAGTCACAGAAGCTCCCATCTTGTCCTTCAGGTCGGCTATCAACGCCCGCCCCAGCTCTTGCAATCTGTCCCCTCTTCCCTTGCCCAGGACGCCCGTAATTTCGTCTACAAGGTTTTCTCCGGACGGAGTCAAGGGGTCAAAACTGGTGGAGGGCGACGCAGGTGCACCTGGGATGCTGCTGCTGCTACTTCTGCTGCTTGGGGATGAGCTCGCGGTGATACTCTTTCGTTCATGATTTGATCCCGCCAGGAGATCGTACTGGAACAGCACGGCCTTCAATGGCGTAAAATAAAAAGACCACACGCGCGCGAGGGCCGACGATACGGGGTAACGGTGAAGGTAGACGTAAGTTGCGCTCTAACCGCATTTCTGCAATGTGTGCTACAAAATGAAGTGGTAGAGACTCTACAGCTATCCACTAGTATTGTTGGCTACACAAATGCTGTGCCTGCGGCGGTCACGCTTGCTGTACAATGGCGGTGTGTCAGCCGTCACAACGCCGACCATACCGTCGACGCAAGCCTACGCAGTATTCACAATCGGAGCTTCACCGAAGCACGTGACTACGAGTAACAAACATGGTCCACCTTGAGCTTCAGATTCTTCCCCACAGAAAACTTCTCGGGCAAGGGAGCCTTCAGGTCGTTGGGAGAAGGTGCGGCCGGAGCATACTCGGAGTAGGTCCTGCCTGCTGATTTAGGAACAACGATCGAAGACCATCTCCTCAAATGGCCGAGTTCACGACATCGTCGCATGGCTACAAGGGAGGCAATCGTAGGTGTGTTTGGCTCTTCTGTAACAAGTGGAGGCAATCTTCTTTGCTGTGTTGTTGCGTCTGGTGTCTTCTCTTGTGGGGTGCAGACTTGAGTGACCATCGCAAGCGGGCGAAGGGGTTCCGCAGTATGGTACCGCCGTGCTGACGGTGCTAATTGTAATAACAGCAGTCCCGTCGATACATAGGTCCATGTGCATCAGGTGCACGTATGCATGTGTGCATGTTGCAGTAGAACAGACCGTTGATGCGTAGATACGCTGTACAGGTAAGCTGTAGATAAGCACATGACCAATATGTGCATGCGTGCATGCAGTATTACAGGGCGTGTATCTTGTGCTGTGGTTCTGGTGCTGACAAGTGTTCTTGAGATAAGGCCCGATCCGAAATGACTGTCGTTTCGCGAGGTTTTCAAAAGTTCCCAACCTGCTTGCACATCCATCTCATGCCCGCGAGGATAATCAGTTACCGCTCGTTGAACACACTGCGCAGTAGTGGATCTCTTGGTGAGTGGGTGAAACTCTCCCCAGCGCGGATTATGTCAGGCCCAGACGCTGCTGTTGAATCGATCGATTGAGAACGCGACCTCTACCAGCAAGCAAGCGCTGTTTAGCGCATCAGAGACGCTGTTCGATGCCGTCGGAGTCGACTCCAACCCAGGCACACCTCTACAGTCGAAACATTTCCCCTAATCTTTTGTTCCCGCCAGGTCTGAAACTAATATGGTAGATGCAGAGACGCACGTGCGTACGGCCGTTTTTTTCCCGCCTCTTTTGTCTTTAGTCTACTGCAACACGCGACGTACACTACAAGTATATCGCATTTTCCATTGAAGACTTACACAGCAGTAGGGAAAACTGCAGTGAATGGGTTGGCCTCTGTTCTTTCTGACACATTCCCCATTGCCATAGGCAACTGGCACTTGTCCCTTTGACGGAAAATCGGGCGTCATGTATGTGCAACCCCGTTCTTCCGAACGTACATCGTCAGGAAACTCAACAATGCATCTATTTAGCTGATCAATGGATACTCAACAATATCTATTTAGCTGATCAATGGATAATTTTGAACTGTGCGGGGCGGCAACGAATCGTGTTATAGTAGTGGCTTTCGGGGGCGTGTACGGCCAGAATCGCACACAAGCATTTCATAAGGTTGCAGCCATACCGCATGAATCCCTCAACACCCGCTGCATATCAAGCTACAAGAATCTGATCTGGTTTCTCTCGCGTGGTAGTCTACTGGTGATAAATTGTCTCGACTACCAAACCAACAACAGGTGTTTGCTTGTCTCCTCTTTCCCTTCTCTAAGGTATGTATCCCGATCTACGCATGGCGTGAAACGCGCTCGAAGATTGTCCCGTACATCATGTCCGCCCGCTCTGCCGTTTTCCTCATCTGTTGCCCCAAGACTCCAAGACTTGGAATCACAACGTACCCTCGACCCACACGAATGTGGATCCCTACACTCGTGCGTCTTTCTGGCAAATGATATTTTCACAGGGATTTTCTCATCGTCCGCAAATGAACAATCACAACAACGCCACAACGCTAATACTACACGTTTGTATTACTGTACTATTGACAAGCTTCTTTGAAGCCGTCATAACCGAGATGGGGGGCGCCTGTGACACTTCGTCTACTCGTCGTCGCCGCTTCCCTCCTCTTCGTCACCATCCTGCTCCTCCTCCTGATCCCCCTCGTCGCAACCCTCCTCTTCCTCCTCCTCCTCCTCCTCTTCTTCCTGATCATCGTCCTCCTCGTCATCTCCTTGCCGCCTTTTGCTCTGCCAAAAAAATTGAACGGGAAGTTGCACGTGAACTTACATGAGAATCGAAAAAGAGGCTTCAAGAGTTGAACAGCTATCACGAAGGAAATCAACAACGAAGGGAATGGCAGGCAGAAAAACAACAAAAAAGGACCAACATTTTGGTTCACAGTCCGAGCAATTTTCGGTAATTTTGATCCCCGATTTGACGAGACGTTGAGGGATCTCACCTTGCGAATTGATAAAATGAAATTATCGATTGATTGATGTTTCTTGGAGTATTGAGCGATAGATAGAGACTTTGTCGATTGTCTTTGCCCCCCTTCTCCTTCCCTCCACCGCATGGCCCTCATAACGAATTGTGCTTCTTGCAACCCGAACAAATCCGTTCAAAAATGACGTGCAAAAATACGTAAAACATGTTTGCTCATGATCTACCACACAATGACGGAGTTTCCCCACAGCCTCTTCGCTTGAGGCCTAACAGAGCCCGGCTGTGCACGGTTCCAAGTCTCCCTTGATGATCTTCGTTGCGGCCGGTGTCGTGGGACCAAGGTTAATATTCTTCCTGGCTGGATCCGGCCTCCTCATCGAACGGTCTTATCTTATTTTTGCATGTTTCCTTCACAGGTTGTTTTCTTATCCAGAATACCTATGAATACGAACCTCCAAAATACCTATGAGTGCAAACCTCCCAAAATACCTGTGAATACAAACCTCCAAAACTCGCCTTGTTATGCTTCGCGTCCTTCTTCTTCTTCGCAGAGGTCTTTCCGGTGTCTTTCTTCTTCTTGCCGGTGGCCCCGCGTTTGCGCTTCTGCCGGGAAGCCCTCACCTCCTCCTGGCACTCGGCGACCACTTTCTGGTCGATCCTGAAGTCTCGGTCGACGCGGCTGGTCACCCACTTGGGTAGGTCCAGCGAGCCCTTGCACTGCTTGCCCAGCAGGAGGAGCTGGACATCGCACTCTTCGATCTGCAAGAGCGGCAAGCCAGGTAGTAGGTGCGTGCATGAAGGGATTGAAAGGCCGCCAACGACAGTAGTAGAGGAAGTGTGTAGATGCCACACGGTAGATCTACACGGTCTGCGCGGTGTGGCGAGCCAGCCTACATCATCTTTTATTTGACAAAAACAATCGCAATACGAGTGCTATCATATACCATGCAGAGACCACGCTGTAGATCTGCACGATCGGCGCGGTGTCGCGCGAGCAGCAGGGGCATACTGCACACCACCATCTTTCAACTCGTACTATGTACAGATATCTTACTGTTCCACCTGGAATATGAGGCCGAACTTTGTGAACAACACCACCAGACCCCTGCAACAAAAACACAGGGCGACAGCAAATACATAACAACAACACACGCGCAACACTACCGATCGATACGGTACGCCACCTGAAAAATGAGGGCGGGCACGAGACGGCTCTGGCGGGTGATACTGTTCTTCGTCGTGGCGTTGTTCTTCGTCATGTTGTTCTTCGTCGTCTCGTCCTCCCCGTCCAGGTTCGGCAGGAGTTCTTGGAGGGCCTTGGTGAAGCCCTGCTTGGTAGCCAGCACGTGCTTGAGGCCCGCGCCAATGTAAGCCTTCTTGAGGGACAGTCGCACCTTTAGGACCTGGATGGAAACAAAACAAAGACAGGAAAATAACGCATAATTGACACATGCAGGTGTTTGGCGACGCAGATGTAAGCGAGGACCGCTCTTTCATGGCGAATTTTGTGTTTGGTCTCAGCGCGCGCTAATCTAGTCGTAGGAGGAAATACGTCCCCAGAGAAATCTTGCGGGCCCGCAGAATCTTCCGCGTGTAAGGGATAGGCTCTGCAAGACCAGACAGCGCTTGGATTTGTTTGTCCCGCCACAAAGACGTCTTTTCATTGCTCAGCCGGTTTCCGCGATCGATCCTAACTAAAGAAACACACACAAACACCCCCTTCCAAGGACCTCGCGGACTGTTAGTCGTTTCTGTCCCAACAAAGACGGACGTCTTTCCGTTAGCCGCAACTCTTAAGCTTAACGTAAGGAGAGGGAATCACTAATGCAAAGAGAGGAAATGACCAATGCAAAGTGAGGGAATAACTCGCGACAAACGTTGGGGCTAGCCGAGGCCCCCCTCGACCTCGTTGCTCACATAGCCCCCTCTCCCGCCCTTGTACGTATGCATAACGCTCCGTGGACTCCACGGCGGATGTCCCCCTTTCGCCTCGCGGGAGCACAGCCGCAAAACTCTGCTGCTACGTCGCCGCCCCTGCTCCTCCTCCTCCTTAGCTGTTGCCCTCTTCAACAAGGCTCATCTACACAGCAGTGTTGTGAAGAGAAACAACACACACAACCGTACACGCAGAGAGAAACAACCTTCAAAAGCACACATTTTCAAAACCCACACCATCTCCACACTAAAACTAGCACTACTGCGCAGCAGAGAAACAACTACATGAGCACACCCACACCCTTTACCTTTACCTTTGTCATGGTGCGGAACACGCGGGTTGCGCTCGACACCAGCTTCTCCACAGACCTCCCGGGCATCTTGCTCGCCAGCAGCACGGTCAGGGCGTTCATCACCACGCGGAGGCGGTCGCACACCAGGGTCTCCCTGCGATCGAGGGGGTCTCTCTCGCCGACCCCGCCGTCGCTCCTTATCCCAGCGGCGTCTTCGTCCGAGTCAGAGTTGCGGCCGAAGTCGGCGCAGGACCCGTCGTCGGAGCTGAGGTCGTCCTGAAAGGGTGAAAAGGGCGGACGGGACGGACGGACTTGAGGGCGAGGGTGAGGGTGGAGTATTTGGTATGCTGCTGCTGCCTTTGTTGTCGTTGGTGTTACTGCTGTTGATGTCCATACTAGAACGCGCCGCCACTTACAACGGATTGAAGAGAAGCTATTCTTACGCTGGCTCTATTTTCATACTTAAAAAACTCCCTATGTAAAAGAAAAGGGCGACCTTCCCGCCCTTTAGATATAATGCATTCTACTGTTAGCAGTAGAGGACACCATGAAGAGGTATCCTGTGTGCTGGCACGTTCAGGTTTGCTACTGGAGCTGAAATATCGAAGGTCGCAGCAGTCTCTGAAAAACAGTCCGTAATCTGCGCCGGAACCCAACATGTGTCACAACCGTGCCCACCGTCACGGACCGTAAACCCAGAACGAGGGTCGCCAGCAGTAGATAATGGCATGAGCTACTGCAGTCAACCCGCAGTTTAGGAGATAGGGTCACTGGCGGCGACCACGAGGAGTACAAGACGCAGGGTGTCGGTCTAATTTGCGGAGGTTTGCGGAGATTGTAGGCTGCTACTACGACCCTCGATATCACCACCCCAGAAGCAGATTACCGAGCGCGCTGACACACACACCGCTGCTGTAGGGTGTCCTCTAGTGATACAGCAGTAGAATGCATAGAACTAGTGCAAGCCAACCTTGTTTGAGCGCTCGCCGTTTTGACTCTCTTCACTTGAATTTAGACTGGTGTGAACTTTTATCTTGATTTCAAAGGAGATGTGTGAAGGTAGACGCGTGAAATGTGTGCTTAGAGCAACCTCTACTGCCGGTCCCTGCGAGAATCAACGATTTCTGTTTTTCGCGATGCCTTCCGACTGACTGGTCTTGTGTGCCTCCTGTGCATTTTCTGGTGCTCTTCCGTTTGTTTTCAAACTCAGTCCACATCAAAACCCGTTGTCTGCCATCCCTCAAGACCTTAGCAGTCAAGAACTTGAGCCTAAAACATCCAAAATCTAAGAAGTTGTCCATGACAACAGATGCTCAGTCAGAAACCTATATAGCCACCGTGGGGGTACCCCATAGACAAAATAAGAAACTACCGTTGGCCAAGATCTGCGGTGGTGGTGGCGCGTTCTGTGTCTTTTTTCGTATAATGGGAGAATCAGTGTTCGGGAAACAAACACGTGGTGACCTCCCGGAGAATACACTAGGGTTAGCGCCCGTCCTTCATGAGCCTCTCGGCACGATTGACTCCCACTCGCGCGACCATATCTAGGTGGGATCCATCCTCCTCTCCCGGGGTCATGAATGACGTCATTACTTGCCTCGGAGACCGTTCCGGATGACTGCGATTCCCCCGCCCCGCCCCTGCCGCCACCGCGAGAAAGCAAGCTCCGCATTCCCTCCGGCGTCTGCGCAGACACGCGGGCCTGCCTGGCTAGGGCCGCCTTCTGCAGCAGGCGCAGCGCGTATTCCACGTCGCCGACGCACGCCTGCACCGTTCCGACGGCAACCTACGTGAAGAGAGATAGACCTTAGGGTTAGGGACCTAAGACGGGACAGGATTGGATGTGATTGGTAGAAGGACGGGGGGCTCGGGATGGGGAGGAACACAGACGGGTGGCATCAGTGGTTCAGTGCCACCGCAAACATCTTGTGAAGGAATGGAGGACAAACACGAGCCTAAAAGAAACGAGGCTGATCGATCGCAGTTCCAAGTAACTCTTGAGGGTGAAACAGGTCGTTTGTAAAGGTGGGGTGGCAACGCCGTGTGGCGCCTTTCTGGTATACATACGTATCGTTTCTTCACATCAGATGCATTGTTGGCATACAGTAGGGTGGAGGACTGGCGGGGGGGGAGGGAGGTACGAAGCACACAAAGGAGGGCGAGAAAACCAGTGGCGCAGGAACCGACCAAACACAACATCGTAGAACCCAACAAATCTCAACACCACGGCCGCCAAACACAGACTTTCTTAGATACCCTACACGTGGCTCTCTTCTTCTTCCTATTTAGCACATCCTGCTGTCAGCCTAAGGCAGGCAAGCAGTTGCTTCCTCACGTCATTGATCGCATTCATGGTGAAGTTGTTGATCACTTGGAAGGTCACCACCGGAGGCTCATCGTCCTCCTCGTCGTCCTCCTCCCGGGGGCCGAGGCAAGCCGAGACCTGCAGAGGCCAAGGACCAGGCACAAAGCCAGTCAGTACTACCCTGAAAAACCGTTCTTGTTGACGCAAAAAAAGTCAACGGCCGAGCGGTTGGTTCAATTAGACCGCAACGGGCTTGGTTTTCCAGCGATATGTAACGTTTCGAACGAGGAAGCAGCAGCAATAGCAATGCCACCCCGCAGAAGGTAGCTCTACTGTTCATCTGTCTCGCTCAAGGTTTGATGCTTTGGGGTATCGTGACTACGTGACTACACTATCGCTAGTATTACAGGTCATGATTTCGACTAAATAGCCGTTACAGGTTATGATACCGGTTTGACATCGATTTCTGCGAGGGGAAAGGAAAGCCTACCACGCGCGCAGCGACCCGCGATAGGAAAATTGGCAAGCGCACCCTCGTTTTTCTTAATGTGGGTCGTGATTCGGAAAATACGGATGCAGGATAGGGAACCCAATCGGTCATTTACTGGGCCATGGTGATGACTGAGTGAGTCGTGATATAGATGTCGCAATTGCCGATGCCGTTTCACACCATACTTCTTCGACATCCCTGATTCCCAGCCGATGTATCAGCGACGACGCAGTATCTACACACAAGAAGCAACTTAGGGTCTGAGCGACGGGTTAGACAAAACGCCGGTACAATGCATCAACACGTTTGTAAAGGTACCGCATCTTATCTTGTACAACGTGTACCATCGCCTGTTTTCTCACCTGCCTCGCCACATCGTGCAGGGCGGCGATTCTTCCGCCCTTGGCTTTCATGGACATGTGCGCCTGGCGTGACGCGGACGGGGCGGGTTGTCGGCAGCAGAACGGCGAGTGGAATAAATATCCCCCGGCGCCCGGCAAGCACACGCGCGTGCATCAGGCGTTTCCACAAATAACAAAAAAATAAGCGGTACACATCATCACTAAGTTGGAAATTGCTCCGACTTGCAGGGAACAGCAGTGGCACGCGGTTTGTGCATGGGTCAAGACCCTTGCGGCGCATGTTTTCAGGGATGGCCGAACACCCTTGGGTGGCGGTAAGTGTTGTCCATGGTGAAATCAGCGTTCCAACGGCGGGATAGACACAACCAACCGCTCGCCTCAAGGTAGAGCGAGATGACGGCCTTGGCGAGGCTGGGGCACTTGATGTTCTGCTGCTCGCACACGCGCTTGAGGGACGCCCCGTGGGTCTCCAGGCTCTTCGGGTGCAGCCTCAGCAGCCGGGTCAGCTGCGACAGGATGCGACACACCGTTTCCGCCTCTTTCATCTGTCGCGCACGGCGAGCGAGGGAAGGGGGAAGGAGGGTCACTCGCTTTGGACCATCCGGCCGAGGCCAGGAGGCGCACATCAAGGGAAGCCCTAAGCCTCACTTCACTGACTGGGGGGTGGCCGATCCGATAGTTTTCTTCGAGCCTACCCTATCTCAAGAGAGGAAAATCGTCTTCGACAGACAACAGGGAAATTCTACGCTTTATGAAAGGGGATCTGCACCTACCTACCTGTCAATCGGACGATCTGGGACACGCTTGCCATTTGTTTTTTTCTGCCACACCAGACGTTGTGCGAGTAGCGGAAGTGGGTAACGCAATGCACAACGACCCTTGGCGCACGCGCGCCAGGAACCATCGTAGGGAACAAAAAAACAAACACGAAGCACGCGGCTCGACTCCGGTTGGTCCCGACACATACACAGAAAGCTTTCAAGCTTCACCTCCAACAGCACCATCCCCACCACCGCCACCACCACCACCATTTTCACACCTGGTCGTCCCCAACGAGGCTGACGAAGGTGTTCACCAGGCCTTCGGCGTGTCTGCCCAGCACCCCAGCAGCCACCGCCGCTCCCCCGCCGCCTCCGCTCCCGCCACGGCCCGCCGCGGGATCGGCCGGCGCTACGTTGGAGTTAGGGAAGCTATCGTAGGCGGCCTGAACGAAAGAACGGGAGAAGGGACGGGCGGGGGGAAACAAAAATCAAGTCTTGGTGGTAGTTCCGCCGCAATCCGAGGACAACCTCGTCTCGGCGGTGCTTTCGACAACTCTCCGGTCTTATTTATATGAACTCCTCCGAAGGAGGTGGTGTCGAGCTGACGCGGTCTGGCTCGCCGAAACGCGCCCCGGGAACCCCGGTGTGCAGGCATTCCGGCCGCTTCTTCTATCCTGCAGCAGGGATCACGAACGGCCGGTCGAGCGCCGCGGCGGGTGGTGCGAACCGGCCGCCGAAAGCCTTCCATCCGTGAAGAGCCCACTACTTGTGTAACCGATTACGAAATGGCTTCGAACAATCCTCTCTGGTGGGTCGGAAGGAAGTATTCTTCGTGTTTTGCGTCCCCAAGTCTTCTTCGGCCTGCGCGGCAAGCCGACCGGAACACCGCTCAATGGTCTCGTTCGATCTATTTGCTATATTGTACAACCCCACCTCCCTACCTGCCGCACCTTACAACACGGCCCGAACAACGACAGGAGCAACTCACCGCCAGCATCTTGGCCGTGCGCGAGGCCGCGGTGCCCTTCTGCGGGGAGCAGTGCGCCGCGATGCACACGCACTCCTCGAAGCAGGACAGCGCCAGCTCCGCGAGAGACTCGGAAGGGGCGGACGGCGTCTTCTTTTTCGTGCCCTTATCCCCGCCGCCGCCGCTCTTGCCCTTCCCTTTCGAGGCCTTGGCGGCGGCGGCGGCGTCCCTGGCGGCGCCGGATGTGTTCCCTGTCGTCACCTGTGTGCATATCCGCCACGTGAGGTTTGCATGTGCAAGCACACGTCATCCATTCCGATGTACGCAACGACCACACCTATAAAAGCCGAAATGGAGCCATTAGACTAGTCAGCGCTGACTAGTCTCATGGTTTGATCTCGGCTGCTATACAACCCCACGAATCATGCAAGTATCAGCCGATACAAACGACCGAGGCGTTCACAGCAGCAGTTCCACCTCCAACACACCCCTCTGCGTCGTGGCAAGCACCGCGTCGCCCACTCGCGCCCCGCACCCACAGCTAAATAGCTCTCGCACGACGCACCCACCTGCCGGAAAAACTCTTTGAGCAGCAGCGGCGCGAGCACCGCGCACCTCTTCACGGCCGCCTTGCCGGCCCTCCCGGCGTCCGCCTCGTCCCGCGGCCCGCCCCCGTGGACACCGCCGGCGACGCCCTTGGCGGAAGGACCGCCCCCGACGTCGACCTCGAGGCCGCCGCCGCCGGAGCTGGGTTGCGCGGCCCCGGCGCGGAGACAGCGCAGGTGGCCGCGGCAGGTCTCCAGGGCGAGGCGTTGCAGACCGAGGTCTTCTCTGACAGCCTTCACACGGCGTGGAGGAGAAATAATGGTAACATACGTCAGCGTCGGAGGGGGTACGGACGATGAAGTGAAGTCACGAAAGAAAACCCGTGATAGCCGCAACTCCGGCGCTGGATACAATTTGGGCGGATGAGGAGAACCCAGAGGTTGCCCGTCTTGTGCAACGGTACGCTCTGTTTCCGCTTACTCTTGAGGGGTACCGCCGCCGTCGAAAGGATCAAACCACGGCATCCTCAATGTAGTGCTTGGTGTTTGCCGCACGCGGTCTGTCTCACAAAGCCCATATCAGAAGCTCCCTCGCGCTCCAAGTCTGCAAGTCTGCATGTTGTCACGATTGACAAACATCGGGTGGTAGTAATAGACAAATACTTGGTCAACAAAGCAACGGAACAACGGGACCTAACAATCAAAACCTTGCTCCACCATGACAACCCACCTCTGTCGGCGGATCATCTCTCGACAGGTCGACATCCATCTGCCCCGGGTCGCGCTCCGTGTCCCCCTCGGTCTCCTCGCCACCCGACGCGTCGACGTTGAGCACCGCCAGCATATCCTCCACAAACGCCAGGCCTAGGCACGGCATGCCTCCCGGGTACAACGTCAGGCCGAAGCAGCCGGCCGCCGAAAACCCCGGCTGCCCTCCTCCACCTCCAGAAGCACTCTCTGATTCACCCCAGAGACTGTTACTGCTGCTGTTGCTGTTGCTGACAGCCCCGCCGTTACCTTTTTTCGCCCTCTGCTGGGCCGCGGTCGGGAGGCTGGGGGTAACCAGATCTAGCAGGGCCTGGCGGCAGTCGAACAGCCGCAGGACGCCCTGGACGGAAGCGAGGGCGGGGAGCTTGCTGCAGCCATGGACTGGCGAGACCGCCGCCGCCGCCGCCGCCGCCGAGCGTTGCCCACCGACGGTGGCCGGGAGAAGGAGCGAGCCCTGCATGAGAGCCTCGTAGGACCCGCAAAGGAGGGCGGCGGTGGCCAGCTTCGTCCTGGCAGCGAGCCCCCCGCTCGGGGAGAAGTCCGCTACCTTGTCAAGGTCGAACTCTGACAGCGGGCAGCCGGAGAGGGCCGTAGACAGCCTGCGAAGGTCGCCTTCCAGCTCGTTCAGGGTCTCTCGAAGCCCCCCTGCGGCGGCAGCGGCCGCCGCGTCTGCCGGTACCAGAGGCCCGTCGCCGTCATCATCGTCAAGCATGTTTTCCGGGTCGACCGCTCCGCCACCTCTGCTTGGGCTGCTGCTGCTGCTGCGCGCGTGCTCAGCCAGGCTCTCCCTGCCCGCCACCAGCATGCGGTGCAGGCAGCCGAGGAGAATCGGGAGAGGTTCAACGATGTCCCCCGCGGAGTCCAGACAACGGCCCAAGAGGAGAGGTGAGCCGCCACCGCCACCGCTGCCGCTGCCGCTGCCGCCGCCGCCGCCGCCGCCGCCGTTTCTCGGGTCCGTGCCCTCCAGCCCTCCATCTACCGGCGGTGGTAGGCTCACGAACCGGCGGAGATGCCCGACGAGGAGGGACACGCTGTCGACCTGAACGTCGAGCGACCTTCCCGTCAGAAACGGAGAGGTTCCGGCAAGAACGACGGGGGGGGGGGAGTGGGGCCGATGGGAACATCAACATTTCCTGCGACACGAAGTCAAACCCCTCACGTCTTTGCGAGAACGATACCCCTTCGGTGGTTCTAGGCACCACAGCTCGTGTTTGATATGAACTCTCCCCCACGGATATGAAGGATTTCCAGGCTCGCATGCAATTCGTCATTACCCCACGATCCACACCCCCCTCCGATGCAGCGCACCTTCCATCCTACTCTCCGAATACAACTGTACCTCACGGCGCTTCGCGCTTGATGATGTGGTAGACTGGTCCGGTCAAAAACCCGCGCGAACCGTCCCGGCTTTGTAGGGATGCGATGCCAACGGTCTAACGTCTAACGACTACGGCATGCACGGCCTTGAGTACACCCGCCCCCCCCCCCCCCCCCCCCCGGGAAACCCCCAATTTAAACCCCCCCTTGCCAAAAGAAGGAAACAACCCCGCCTAAAAGTTGGGGCGCCCCCCCCTTTGGCGGGGCCAAAACCCCCCCCAGGGAACCAAACCCTTCGCGAAAAAAAAACCGGAAACCCCCCCGCCGCCCCTGGCCCCCCCCCCCGCCAGTGGGAAACGGAGAAACCTTTGCCTCTGGTGGCCCCCCCTC